GAACTCTCTGGAACTGGGAGATCTGCACGCGATGTCTCCTAACACATCGGTAAGTGTTTATGAATATGTAAATTGGGATTTAAAAAATCCAGGGCAATAGGTTAAATAAACAGTCATTGCCTCAGATTAACTGATGCTAAACCAATAATAGTGTGTCAAAAATGTTAATTTGAGGCCCCATTTCATTTATTATTCTGGTATAAGTGACTAAATTGCACAGTATTATAGTTGCAATGACTATTCATTTCATTACTTTTGTACATGGCATTTGAGCGGTTTGTGGATCTGAGCATACTGGCCTGCTCTGCCTGGGAGTGAAGTTTCCTAAGGTAGTTTGAGTGACAAACATCTCAGAGCTTGCTCGCATTCTTCTGTGGAATAGTCACTTCTGAGAGAAAGAGGTGCGGCTTCGTGGTCTGGGAACAGGACTGTCAGCCAGGAACATGGAGTTCTTCCCCTGGAACTAGTTATGTTTTTTTTTTCATGGATCAGATGGTACTTATGAATACTTCTAGGACTCAGTTTACCCAGTTAGCAAAGCTGGTTAGGGAAATTTAATTAACTGGAGTGTACTGAGTATTAATGAATGAATATCTATTAAATGATTTGAAATGAAAAGTGAGAAGAATGCAACTGAATTGTTATTTTTATAAACTGATGAATTCGATGAAAAAAATAGATAATTGGCCTTTGGGAAAATTACCCTAAACAAGAAAATTTATTTTAATGTTTAAATACTTCTTTAATTTAAAACATTTGCTATTCTAAATGATTTTCTTTATTAAATTAACTTGTTTAGTGTTCTATATGATACAATAATTAAATTCATTATTAGCTTCTATTTAAATAAAGTGATAGTCTCTTAGTTCTATATAACAGGGAAATCTTTTCTGAGGTTTCATGCACTGTAAGAATGTAGACATTATTAACCTTAATGTTTTAGGAAAAAAATTAGGATCAAAGAAATGTATGGTCAATGTAGAACTTGTGCAGGGTGGCATAGTGAATTGCCTATTTTAAAGTGATAAAGACTTCCAAGAATAAGATACAGGGTCCAGAAAGAGAAAATTGTATATGTGCTCAAACACAATGGGGTTGATGGTGGTGGAGAGACTTACTGATTGAGTAATTGTGATGTTCTATATCTGAAAGAATAGTTAAAAAAAAAATCAACCTCAAATACAAATGTTCCATTTTGATAGTTTAGAGCAGTGATTCTCAACCTTCCTAATGCTGTTAACCTTTAATATAGTCCAAAGGGGTTGACACCCACAGGTTGAGAACTGCTGATTTTTTTTAGAGATAGTGTCTCACTTTTTTGCCCTCAGTAGTGCTGTGGCATCACAACTCCGCTCTTGGGCTTAGGCGATTCTCGATTCTCTTGCCTCAGCCTCCCAAGTAGCTGGGACTACAGGTGCCTGCCACAACGCCCGGCTATTTTTTTGTTGCAGTTTGGTCAGGGCTGGGTTTCAACCCATCACCCTCGGTATATGGGGTCGGCACCCTGCTCCCCTACTCACTGAGCCACAGGCGGCGCCCAAGAACCGCTGGTTTAGAGGGTTAGTGTTCTCCTACCCAAATTCCAGGCCTTCAAAGTTAATCAATCTCATATGTGGGTTAAAAAAGAAAAAAAAAAACAACTTTAAAAATATATTGTGATTCTTTACTCTAGGAAGTTTTAAATCATGAATCTCCTCCTCCTTTTTAAAAAACAAAAATAAACAAAACAATGGATCTTCTATTCTATGTCTGGGATCTCAAATTTAGCTCTGAATATGTGTTTCAAATCTCATTAATTACAATATTGGTCCCAGGAGATACAGTTGCTGATGCAAAGAACACTCTTTGTACTCAAAATAATTTGAACAAGGGCAAAGAAGCATTTTATTTACATGTGTAAACATTAAGAGGAAAATAAAACAGAAATGGTTCAGGTAGCTATTGAGATGTTTTAATGATAATTGATTTGATTACTTAAGCTTTATGGTTACCATATACCAGATACATATACACAGAATAGTCATGGTTTTATTTTGTATATTTGTCAGATGATAACATTCTTGTAAAGGTAACTCTGACATTAACTTGGCAAGTTCTGAACTAAGACCTTTTAGCATTTTATTCTTTTCTCAGAGTAAGACCAGATTGTTCTAAATTCCATACCCCACTGTGCAGATCTATAATTTATTTATTTTTTAAATATCAGAAAATATACCATTACCCATAGGACTTTTCCATGTAATAACTCTGCGTAAAAACCAATCAAATGAATAAATTATAGCAGAAGACAGCAAACAGCTCCTCCTGTTTCCTTTATTTTCCTTTCTTTATAGGAAATAGCAAATTAAAGCATGGCTATTCATGGTCTTGTACCATGAGAACACATATGGTCATTACGTTTTTGTCCCATTAACAAGTTTGTTGGCTTAGTGGTAGAAAGTAAAGTGCACTATAAAGTTGTCTTAATGCCTTACAATGAGGAAGGGGCATCTGTTATGTACAGCCCCAACATAAAAGTCTTGCTCTCAGCTCTGATGGCACCCTTGGCTTAAAATGGATACTAATGAGCTAAGGTAAGCTGCCTGGTTACACATAAGAATTATTTGGAAATTATTAAAAATACAAGTGCCTGGTCCCATTCCCATGGTTTCTGATTCTCAGTCTACAAAGAAACAAACCTTAACTAACAATAACGAATAAAGGCAATTCTAAAATACCAGTCCTGATAACTATAGTTGAGAGAGACCCAACACCAGTACAAGGACAATAACAAATCTGCTTTTCTGATGATGGTATAAAGTCCACTTTTGGTTTTTAATGGAAACCTTCCTTTTTCCCAGCTACAAGGGTAGCTCAGTAGATACCGGAACTCTCTCCTTGACAACATATAAAGTTCTGAGCTTTATATGGTGTGTTTTATGGGTTCTAGAGTCTTGATATGCTAAAAAACTTTTAGGTTAAAGCCAATGGAAATAGAACAACAAATTACATATATCTAACCTTTATGGTAAAAGATGTAAACTGTGGCAATCTTAGACACATTTAAGCATTCTGAGCAAAAGTTCATTAAGAGAGGCTTACTGGCTCAGCCTCACTTCAATCACCAAAGCGTTGTATAGGTCATTAGAAACAGAAAGGAAAATTTTGGAGTCAGCAAGGGCAAATTACCTTTCTTAGAAATTAATCTACTTAAGCCAATAGAATTTTTTTCCATTCTCTTATCCTTACTTCTTTCATTGGTTGAATTTTTGTCCTGTTAATAAAAGTGCTTTTTTTTTGTCATGTCCATCCTGTTGTGTTTACATCTTTTGCCATTACATTCTAAGACTTTTTCATTCAATCCTGTTTCTACTATTCTTCTTTCTTCTCTTTTTACACTTCACTTTTCTCATTTAAAGTTTCTTTCCTTAGCATCAGCATAGTAGGTCTTACCTCTTCATTTTCCCCAGTCTTTGATTTGTTAGCTAACCCCTTTTTTGATTCTCTACCTCTAATTTTTACAAACTGACCTTCTTTAACCTTCTGTTGATGTTTTATTCCTATCACTTGCTGTCAATGCTCACAAACCCATTTCTTTCCATCTCTGTATCTACATATAAGTTTTTATGATCCTACTATTAAATGCTTAACGCTGTAGTGTGGACTATACAGGTACTTTTTTGAATCCTATTGCTTCTCCCCACTCATAGCTGTTCCTTGTTTATTCGTCCTTTCCAGATGTTGCCCTGCCCCACCCACACCTGTACTCTTCTTCCCAGTCACTCCCCATCTGATGCTCATCTCTTCTAACCTCATTTGCACCCTGTCTGATTTCGCAGTCAAGCATCTCTAAAAGATGAATGATGGACTTCTACTGGGGACTAGGTTGCTTGTTTCAAAAACTTCTGTGCATTCACTGAAATGGGATTAGACAGTTGGATCCAGAAATATTCTCAGGCAGCCTTTCAGCTCTGGCACAGTTCTGCTCACCTTGGAGCGGGGTTGAGGCCTATTCTGATGGGCAAAGACGGACATCTTTCAAGGCCATCTCTGGGCCTTTTCCACACCAGGGGTCAGGAAGAATAACAGGCACCACCGACCCAAACAGTTAACCCTGGACGGATGGGGAAGCCGGTGCCCTTTTCGGAGGCAGGTCTGCCTAGGTGTGCAGTGCGCCGTCAAGGGGCTCCGTGCCTCTCGGAGGGGTAGGGGGCCGCTGCGGTCCGGCGAGTCACCCGGCCTTTTTGGGCGGTATGCTCACCTCTCAGAGAGGAGGCAAACCCGAGGCACGGTGCTCCCCTGGGGCGCAAGGCGCGGCCCCTGGCGCCGCCACCCTAGCGGCGCCCAAGGCCGGAGATTCAGTCCCTCCCCAGGAGGGAAGGCGAGTCGTTCCCGGTAGCTCAGCCAGAAGGTCGAGGGAACAGCGCGGGTATTCCTCTCCCGCCGGCCCTCTGGGAGCAGGGAGGGGGCTACACCCCAGGAGTAGGGCTGGGGACTGCAGAGATCAATCGTGGGTGCCGGCGCAGGGTCACAGACAGGAGAGCACGGGAGAGGGGGCTAGTGGGGGCCCCCAGGGCGGCTGGGGCCGTGGGTCTGTCTGTGTACTCGGCGGGCGCCCCGAAGTCTGGGGCCGCCGCGGCTCCAGTTCCGCTGGCTCCTGCCGGGGACTCCAGGCCGCACTTTCTCCTCCTCCCGGCGCCTTCTCTCCAGTGAGGAGCCGAGCGCGGGCGGTGCGGAGGGAGGGGTGGCGGCTGAGAGAACAGCCAGTTGTTTAAAATCCTTCTAGAGCAGTTTCTAATTCCCCCCTTGCGCCCGGGTTCGGAGGGGGAGGGGGGAAGGAGAGCGGGTGGAGGGAGGAGGGCGGAGAGGGAAGGAGGGAGGGAGGGAACCGGGGAGGGAGGGAAGGAGGGAGGAGACTGCCGCTTAGGCTGTACCCGCCACAGCGCGCTTCGGAAGGCCGGAGGGAGGGGGAGGCCTGTCAGTCTCGCGCGTTGCCTGGGCGAAAGGGGCGGAGCTTTAGCGTGGGGCGGCCAATAGTGGGGGTGGCTGCGTGGGTCGCCATGGGGACGGGGCTGTTCCCGGGGAGGCTGTGATGGGTTGACAGGTGCGTGACAGTGGGAGCTGCTCTCGGCACAAGCATGTACGGCAAAGGCAAGAGTAACAGCAGCGCCGTCCCGTCCGACAGCCAGGCCCGGGAGAAGTAAGTGTCTCCGCTTCTCACCCACCTCCGCCTTCACACGCGCGCACACTCACGCACGCATTCGCACACTCTCTCGGACACACACAAACACACAGACACTCTCCGCCCGGGGAGAGCCGGGGGTGGGCTGGCAGGGGGAGGGGTGCCCGAGGTGGGGGCGTGTGGTGCGGGGAGCGGTTGTTTCCTAGGAGGTGCTCGCGCGGGGCGGGCGGCCGTGGGGGGCTGTCGGAGGGAGGGAGCGAGTGTGTTGAGGGGCGGCGGTGCTGCTGGTGGTAAGGATGGAAACTTGTTTGGGTGGTTGAGGGAAATAACCCGCGGGTTCACCCCCTCACAAAGTAACTTTGGAGCTGGGGTCCGGGGCTCCGGGGACTCCGAGAGCCGCCCAGGGTCGCGGGCGGGGGGCAGCTTTCCGGTGAAAGGCGCGCGGTGGGAATGTGGGTGTTTGGCGGGTCAGCTGGGGTCGGGGCGGGCAGCCCGAGGAGCGCAGCGGCGGGGGACCGGGCGCCGGGGCTCGGGGCCGGGAGTGCCGGGCGAGGTGGAGGCGGCGGTGCCGGGCGCCCGGCGGGCGGAAGCCGGGCGCGGAGCGGCAGAGCGGGGCCCCGCGGGGCGCGGAGGGCGTGTGCGGGCGTGGGCCGGTGGGCGTCGGGGCTTTTCCCGGGGAGCGAGGAGACTCGGTGTCCGCAGTCCCCAGCGCTTCGCGGGGCTGGAGCTGTGACCGCGGCGGCGGCGGGTGGGCGTCTGGGGCGTCGCTGAAGTTTGGGAGTCGGGGAAGGACCGAGTTCCCGGGGAGCAAAAGTGTGCTGGCGAGGAGCGGGATCCGGTGGCGGAGGCTGAGGGTTCTGCCTCTCGCGGCACGGCCAACTCCGCAGCGGCGGCTGGAGAACTTTTGTGGAGACTTGCTGCATCCCAAATGTGTGGGGGCCGCGGCGGCGAGGGCGGTCCCCGCGGGGCGGTGGTCCGGGCCGCGCGGAGGGGAAGTTGTGCGAGCCGCGGCCGGCGCGGCCAGAAGGGCCGTGTGCGGTGGGGGGGCGGTGGTCGGAGCAGGCGTTGGTGGGCAGGGGGGGCGTTGAGGTGGGAAGGAGCAGCTTGGCTGGGGTTGTGGGAGATACAGGTGTTAACTTCGGTGGGAGCCCCCTCCTGGCGCAGGGTGCCACCGTCACGGCACGCGGCGAAGTACGGTTGTTTGCTACGATTCTTAAGTATTTGTAACGGTGATTTGGTTGTGACTAAAAATGACAGCAAATAGTTTCTGTGACCGCTGAGAAAGAATCCCCCCTTTTTTCCTGTGTAGCAGATCAGTCATTCCCAGTCACTGCCTCAACTCTAAGGGTCAAGCTTATCTTTGTCATTGAACGCACCCTGTCTTTCGGAGGGGTTCAGCCTGGGAAAGTCTGAGAGCATCTCTCAAAGGTACTTTGGGTTACCTTGCGCTCGGAAATTGCTGCGTAAATATAAAACAGAATGCGCAGATGACCGAATTTCCCTCCTTGATTTAGGTAGCTACGTCTCCTCCTGAAAGTTTCTTGTGCCCTAGGGATGGAAGCATTTCCTGATCTTTGTGTTGGCAGTAACACAGCTCCCATAGGATTTAGAGGTGGTAGGCCTTGATGTAGCAAAACAAAACAAAAAAAATTAACAGATAATTTTTTTTTCCTCAGAGATGTTTTCTGAGGAGCTACGTTCAGAGGATATTGTTGCTGTGACAAGGAACATATAATAAAAGATACAGATTGATACCCCGGTTAAGAAACAGCAGTGACTAGAACTGAAGTTTTCAAAAGCAGCCTAATTTGTGTGCATTAATCATTTGGTTGTAATATTTCTGATAGAAACATCTAAAGGAGGATGTTTTAAGGATTGCAGAATATTTGGCTTTCACATTACTGGGAGTAAAAGAATTGAAATACATTGATGAATAATTGAAGGTGACTGAATATGAGAATCAAACATTTTGGATTTTAAGTGGATTTTCAGGAATAGGTGAACTTTGGTCGAATTTAATTTGTATCCTTATGACTTGGTAAAAAATTTTTTTTTAAGTTTCTCAGATAATAACAAAGACGTTTGAACTGATAGGTCTGTGGTCCTTTCTAAGTGTACTTTTGTGATTCCTGGTCGTGGAAACAAATAGTTGCCACTTTTACTGTCAAATCTACCAAACTGAACACCAAATAACAGTCTGCTCTTCAGAGCAAAGTGGTGAGGGCTCTGCTAGATGGTGCTATTTGATTTCAATATATTTCTTCCATTCATTACAATTGGCAGCAAGAATTCTTGACTGGCTTGCCTTATGAACTAAATATAGGTGAAGAGGCCACTTTTGGAGAATTGACAATGAGTGTTTTGGGTTAATTGTTGCAACGATTTCTGAGTGAATGTTGTTTGAATCTAAGGCAAACATTGTGGTGGGTTGTATTTTATAGAATGAACTTAGTTTCGTTTTGGTCAAAGATTTACCTGACTGTTCAATTTTTACCTTTATATTTATTTAGAAATTTTTTCTTTTCTTTCCTTTTTTTTTTTGAGACAAGAATTTCACTTTGTCGCCCTTGGTAGAGTGCCCTGGTGTCACAGCTCACAGCAGCCTCCAACTCTAATTCTCTTGCCTCAGCCTCCCAAGTAGCTGGGACTACCAGTGTCTGCCACAATGCCCAGATATTTTTTGTTGCAGTTTGGCCAGGGCGAGTTTGAACCTGCCACCCTCTGTATTTGGGGCTGTTGCCCTATTCCACAACAGTGTACTAACACCTGAAGATGGGAATTTTGAAGTTGTCTTTCCAATAGATGTTACTAGATTAAAAAAAAAATTTAAGGTGACAGATTATAAAAGATACCTGAATGAAGAGGAATTCTTTAGTAAGCAAATTATAACTGTTCTGATCTTTAAAATCTTAGAAATTAGCTGGGTATGGTAGATCATGCCTGTAATCCCAGCATTTTGGGAGCATGAGCAGGGAGGATTGGTTAAGGTCAGAAGTTTGAGATCAGCCTGAACAATAAAGAAAGACCCTCATTTCTATAAGAAATTTAAGAAAACAAATCATAGAATTTGTTTTTCAGTAATAAATAATACTTTATTTATTTATTTATTTTGCAGTTTGGGTGGGGCTGGTTTTGAACCTGCCACTCTTGGTAGATGGGGCCAGCACCCTACCCACTGAGCCACAGGCACCGCCCCAATAATACATACTTTAATAAAACATTCTGAAAGATGAGTCAGTATTATAAGTGCATATACATGAAATAAGCTCATTGGTTTTATAATCTATCAAGAAATGCTTTTTCTAACATGAGTTCATAGTAGTTTTACCTTTGTTTTCTCTTTCATTAAGAAGTCACTGTATTAAATATTTGAAATAAATTTGTACGTTTTACAGTTTCTATAATTTCAGTACGTAGTTCTGAACATAAAAATGGCCAGAGTCAGGTTAATTACTTCTGCCATTTAAAAAAACAGATCAAGTCTATTCACAGGTTTGAATTAAGTTTAATTATAGAGAGAGCAGTTGAAAACTCTTCAAGGGAGTCACATGAGATGTTTGCATAGAAATTTAATTTTGATACCATTTAGGTTATTTCCTCCTATAGCAGGCTTTCTTTTTAACACTAATCACAATTATAATTAAGTAACCATGTGTTTGGTTGTTTAATATCTAGCTTTTCCAAAAATGTAAGTTTCTTGAAGGTAGGAAGTAATTATTCATATTTCTTCTCTGAGGTGTCTATGACATTAAAGTGCCTTCTGATATGGAAAGAACCATTCAATTCTTGTTGATGAAGATGCTAGACTTAAAGGAATTTTTTCAGTGTGAAGAAAATGTTTTTTCAACAACCTTCAAGATAAGGGACTTATAAGTCTTAGTTCCACATTCTCTAGTCAATTGTATTTCAAAATACCCACAAACAACGATACAACACAAATAACTATTATTCATTTGCCATTCTGTGTATCATCACTATGTTCAGTGTTTTATGTATGTTTTCTCTAGTGCTCCCTATAAATCTACGAGACAGGTAATTTCGCTCTCTCTATTAAAGAAATGAAAAAAAAAAAAAAAACCCCTTATAGTTACATAACTTACCCAGGGACACACTGCTGGAAAATAGGAAACCTGGGTTTCTAACACAAATTCTCTAACTTTAGAACCTATGGTTGAAGCTGAAACATACACTTTTCAGTGTACCAGATTGTCTTCCTGATCTAGGGTAGGATGCTACAGATTTAGGGAACAGCATTATATAATCAGACAAAATAGATTTTAAAGATTTGATCAGATACGTAGTTTTAACCATTGGTGCACGCTGGTGTTCATACCCTCCGTTTTGGCAGACTGCAGATACGTGTGTAATATGGGGAATGGCATGGAAATTTTAGGAGCGAAAGTTGAAAGCCTTAAAAAAACAAAGAATCCTTGTTTCTTAAGATTTTCCTTTTAGAAATTTTGATTATTTAATGTTTGAAGATTAAATGTAATAGTTGTGAACATATTACTCCTGAACTTTATGCCACACTACAACAGAAAGAGGAGAATGGTAGCAAAGAGATGAGTAGTGATACTAATTTTTTATTAAACTAATTTGATTATTTAATAGCACAGAAAGATGAATCTGCTAGAAAGCAAAATCAGACATAAGATCAACATAGTACACGGTGACATTTATTAGATAAACTAGCCAGAAACTGTAGTCATTAGACTGTATGTGTAATCTGTGTTCTTAAAAGTAGCTTTGGCTTTTAAATTTTGAATTTTTTTGTCACGTATACTAAGAAATAAATACCATATACTCATTTTTGAGTGGTTATACTCTTATGGACATTTAAATACTAGTGCATATGAAAGAGAGTTTAGAGGGATTAGTATGTCTGCATCACCTTAGCTCCCTTTCTATGATACCATGAAAGCACTGCCTCCCACAAAGAAAAATTACAAACCTTCCTTCCTTTTTGAAGGAAATAAGGCAAGTAAAGTAATACAAATCTCTACAGAAACTTGTTTGAC